CTGTCTGAACAGCTCATGAATTGCTTTCTATGTGTGTCGCCTTTGAGGCCGCTGGCTGGGACAGCTGATGAATTGATTTGTATATATGTACTTATTGTCCGCTGTCCGGACAGCTCATGAATTACTTTTTGTATATAGCCTTCCAAACCACTCTCAGAATAAGTCATGGATATTCATGCTGTGTATAGCCTTATAGGCCAATGGTCAATCAAGTCATGATTGTTATAGTGTGTATAGCCTTATAGGCCGCTGTCTTTACAACTTTATAATTCCATGCAGTATATACCCTATCGGCCACTTTCTGGCATCCAGTTGCTGTAAGCCCCATCACCACACTGTGCCACGGGCCCCTGTACCGCCTTCTCATACTGCTGCCAGATCCATCCCTCTGCCATGTGCGTCTTTGTCGTCTGCTCACGCTGCTGGGTTCCAGTTTTAAACCTAGGCCTGTGTATGGCTTCCGAATACTGCTGCCTCCACCGCCACCCTGCGCCATGTGCCTCTGTCGTCTGCTCACGCTGCTGACGGCTTCCGCTTTTTAACCTAGGCCTGTGTATGGCTTCCGAATACTGCTGCCTCCACCGCACCCTGCACCATGTGCCTCTGTCGTCTGCTCACGCTGCTGACGGCTTCCGCGCTTTTTAAACTAGTCCTGTGTATGTCTTTCCGAATACTGCTGCCTCCACCGTCCCCGCCACCCTGCGCCATGTGCCACTTTCGGGTCTCCTCACACTGCTGCCAGGTCCATACTGATTCATGGCCCCCTGTACCGGCTCCTCATGAACGTGGTTCAGCGAGTTTGCATCACTTAACGGCAAATCGTTGACAAATGCTGGGACGTTCAGTGTTGTGCGCATTAAGCCAGACACCAAAGGGCAGCACAGACCTGTTATTATTCGCTCAAGCATGGCTGAACAAAACCAGTCTTCTACCACAAATTGGACCCAGACCTGCCCAGGGTCTCGTAACTAGATTGCACGGAGGAGTAGAGTCCGTTATCGGAATTAAATAGACAAAACGCCACACCAAAAAGAGTGGCCATTTCCAACACTTATTCCACAAAGAGGAACAACCCCGTTTCATATACGGCCCGTAAACGTTTCACGTCTGCCACATTCAGTCGATTTAAGACGCAAGCTCCACTTCCTGTGGTCTCTGACCGTCGATATACCTTTAAGTGTCAGCTTTGAAGCTATATTCCCTCCGGAGCACTGACACTGGTGCCCTTCCGTCAACATGCCTTTAAGTTTCAGTTTTCAACCATATTCCCCACAGAAGCCAAACTCTTGGGTATCCCAGAAGCTGCTCAGCGGGTCAGGGCAATAAAGCTCCCGATTCGCAGGTTGTTCCGTCTTATGGATGGAAGTACGACGGTATATGATCTTTTTCGCACCCACGGCATCACCTCATAAAATTTCTGCATTGCATCTGCAATCACAACGCTGACTCCGGGATCGCCACTCAGCCATTGGACTCTTGATAGTCGTCTCCCCACACTGATGCGAGGGGGGACTTTTTAACCTAGGCCTGTGTATGGCCTTCAATTGAAGCTGCTTCCGCTCCGCCACTCTGCCATTGGACTCTTGATAGTCGTCTCCCCACGCTGCTGCTGGGGGGACTTTTTAACATAGGCCTCTGTTTGGCCTTTAATTGAAGCTGCTTATGCTCCGCCACTCTGCCATGGGCCTCTTGGGTATCCCCAGAAGCTGCTCAGCGGGTCAGGGCAAGAAAGCTCCCGGTTCGCAGGTTGTTCCGTCTTATGGATGGAAGTACGACGGTATATGATCTTCTTCGCACCCACGGCATCACCTCATAGAATCTCTGCATTGCATCTGCAATCACAACGCTGACTTCCCGGATCGCCACTCAGGACCATTGGACTCTTGATAGTCGTCTCCCCACACTGCTGCTGGGGGGACTTTTTAACCTAGGCCTGTGTAAATGGCCTTCAATTGAAGCTGCTTTCGCTCCGCCACTCTGCCATTGGACTCTTGATAGTCGTCTCCCCACGCTGCTGCTGGGGGGGACTTTTTAACCTAGGCCTCTGTATGGCCTTCAATTTTAGCTCCTGCTCCAATGGAACTCTTTTACGCTCCTGCCACTCTGCCATGGGCCCCTGTACCGCCCCTGTACCCTCATCTTGCTGCTGCCAGGTCCAGAGTGTGTCATGGGTCCCTGTACGGCTCCCATTGCTGCTGACTTCATCGCCAGACTCTGCCATGTGCCACTTTCAGGTCTCCTTACACTGTTGGTGTGGGTTCCATTTTGTGATAGGGTGCTGTATGGCCTTCCATTGCTGCTGCCTCCACCGCCACCCTGGCGCCATGTGCCTCTGTCATCTGCTCACGCTGCTGACGGCTTCCGATTTTTAACCGAGGCCTGTGTTTGGCTTCGAATACTGCTGCATCCACCGCCACCCCTGCGCCATGTGTCTCTGTCGTCTGCTCACGCTGCTGACGGCTTTCGCTTTTTAACCTAGGCCTGTGTATGGCTTCAGAATAATGCTGCCTACACCGCCACCCTGTGCCATGTGCTCTGTCGTCTGCTCACGCTGCTGCCAGGTCCATACTGATTCATGGCCCCCTGTACCGGCTCCTCATGAACGTGGTTCAGCGGGTTTGCATCACTTAACGGCAAATCGTTGACAAACGCTGGGACGTTCAGTGTTGACGCCTTGTGCGCATTAAGCCAGACACCAAAGGGCAGCACAGACCTGTTATTACTCGCTCAAGCATGGCTGAACAAAACCAGTCTCTACCACAAATTGGACCCAGACCTGCCCAGGGTCTCGTAAGTAGATTGCACGGAGGAGTAGAGTTCGTTATTGGAATTAACTGTGAGGGACTTTTAAACCTAGGCCTGTGTATGGCCTTCAATTGAAGCTGCTTCTGCTCCGCCACTCTGCCATTGGACTCTTGATAGTCGTCTCCCCATGCTGCTATGGGGGGACTTTTTAACATAGGCCTCTGTATGGCCTTCAATTTTAGCTGCTTACGCTCCGCCACTCTGCCATGGGCCCTGTACCGCCTCCTCATGCTGCTGCCAGGCCCGTAATCTGCCATGGGCCCCCGTACCGACTCCTCATGCTGCTGCCAGGCCCGTAATCTGTCATGGGCCCCTGTACCGCCTCCTCATGCTGCTGCCAGGTCCAGAGTGTGTCATGGGTCCCTGTACGGCCTCCCATTGCTGCTGTCTCCATCGCCACACCACTCTGCCATGTGCCACTTTCAGGTCTCCTCACACTGCTGGTGGGTTCCATTTTGTCATAGGGTGCTGTATGGCCTCCCATTGCTGCTGCCTCCACCGCCACACTGTGGCTCCACACTCTGGTTTTGGCCCCCGTGACTGGCCCAAATGAGTGAAGTGTGCGGTGATTCTAAGATCGACGGCACTCATCTGCATGTCATACTGACTGACAGTATTATTTCTCTTCCCCAGCAGACTCCAAGGGCATTTAAATTAAAGGTACAGTGTTCTGCACTAATATAAAGGCTCTCTGAAGCCTAGAAACACCTTTTATAAGTTAAATTCGCAGCGAATATATTCGGCTCGAAGCGAATTTTTTCCGCGAATTTGGCGAATCAGCCGAACCGAATTTTTGAATAATTCGCTCATCTCTAATATTCGGGACTCCACTGTAAATCTTTTAAGTTTTCAATCCTTATGCAACCCAGTATTAAGAGAACAAGAGTCCCTTGAACTGACAGGTAGCCTCATATATTAAGCAACCATAGCTGTAGGTCCCTAATTCCACTCTGAAATAAACATGCTTAAGGAGTACCTTCTTTCATGCTCACAGTTATTTGCTCTCCCTAACATGCACAAAGTTATATTTTATAAATGATCTCAGTGTGTTTTAAAAACATAATAATTATAAATAAACACAACAACATACAGGTAAATCAGTGTTTATTGATTAAAAAATATACAATATGATCAGCAATACGCCACCTATTAGATGACAACAGGAAATATGCTCCACATAATATAAGCATTACACAAAATATATTGTATATAAGCTGAAAAAGCTTAAAAAAAGAATAAAAAATACACTAGCAGTGACATAAATGAAAATGCAGATATAATTTCTGGCTAATATAAAATAAAAATGTTGAAATTAATTTAAATATGCAGATTACAAACAATAACTCTTTTCTACAAAGTGTAGAATGCCTGAAATATTTACGTATCTAAATTTGAAGTGTCATAATTGAACACAGATGGAAACAAATGGTGTCTTGCACAAATATGAAAACTATGCATGTCTCTGAGACTTACACATATATCCTAGATGTGGATTGTTGGGAGAATAGGAAGAGTGAACAAGGAGGTCTATTTAGAACAGTCACAAAATGAAAATATCAGTGCATAATATTTTAGAGCCAAATGTAAACTTACCCCAAACAATTCCCAGTTTTCCCCTTCTCCCTGATGCCCTTGCCTCCTGTATTTGCTACTTTTTTTATTTTTACCTTTTTCAGATGTCTTCAGCCCTATCACATGATGCACAAGGACATTGCCCTCTTTTAATCTTCTTCTGGCAATGTGCAATCCTCAATGATGCAGATAGAAGGTTTGGTGTGATAAAACAGTTCTCTGAATCATTCCCCTATGAGTGGTGGGCACAATGGTGACACCCCCAAAAGAGACAGGTCCATGATACACTGCATTCCCTGAAAGTCTCCAGTCTTCTAGGTTGAATACCAATGGGAGTCATTCAACGTAGAAGACTGAGGACATTAATTTGTGGAATGAAATTACTAAGGGGATACTATTGGATAGATTGTCTGCTTTTTGGTTAATATATAGGAAGCAAAACAATGTGGACTCATATTTCGATCTGCGTTTGAAATAAGTTATGTGAATTAGATTGCAAAGAAAAAAAAGAAAACATTTAACATGGTGGTATGAAGCTGTCACTGGATATTGTTGTAGTCATTATACTCTGATATACACAACAGAAAACCTCTTGGGATTGGAAAAGTCTCAATTGTCTGCACTCACATGGCTGTTACAATTGTGTGTTCTGAAATTACTTCTTTTCCATGTGGTGATTTTTTGTAGGTAGGCATACTGTAAATGATATCAGTGCTTTTCACGGGAACAGTCTGAATTGCATAGTCTGTCCTATTCTTCGGAGGCCATTCAGAGTCTTTATGCAGTTTCCTCTGCAGTTTCCTATACTGACTTTTTGATTTGTAGTTAAATATTCTCTTTATCCAAAGCCATAGTTTTTCGGTTTTCAATGAACCATTCCTAAAGAAAAACCCAAATAAAATCTAAATGGTTTACACTTTACTTCTCGCCAACATTATCATAACATTTCATTTTAAATGTTTCAAAGAACAAATCTAAGGAAAAAGTGAAAGCACTCAGCACTTTAATAGTTGTCATCAAATTTTTATAGCTGCATTAAAGTGAGAAAATTCACATCGAAGCTTAGTTTACACTTGTGGTAAGGGGGCAGTAAGAATAGGTGGTTTGCTGCATTTTTAACGCCTCCAAAGCCAACAACCCCTCCAAGCTGCATGGTCATCTGTACAGGAATATACACATGCAGCAGCAAACACTCTCCCCACCTAGTGTGCATGAAATGCAACAAATTCAAGTGAATGGGGCTGTCCAACAACTGCCCACCAACTGCTAGCATGTGGTTCTGGCATGGTGGTGCAAACATTCTAGGGTTCAAACAAGAGGAGAAGAGGGGACATATCGCCTTCTTCATGAATGTCAAATGTTATCTGAAATGCAATCCAATGCTGAACGCTCTCAAGAGGGCAATGCTTATAAATGAGCCCTAAGTCCTCCAAATATCATACTAAAAATTCCAAAACATATGTAAAGCTAATTATCAGTTATGAAAAACATCCTTGTACTTAAAGTTTTTACATCAAACTTTCTGTAGGGTAAAATGCAAGTTGCGATTGTTAAATATTCCAGAAATACAACATCTTGAATAAAAATCAGAGGGCATGATACACTAATACTGGAGCATGCAAAATATTGTGCAGTTCTGCATAGAAACCAATCAGCTTCCCGGCTTTATTATACTTTCATTTAACAAGTTGCAATTAGAAGCTTTTTGACTACCATGCATAGCTGCACCAGAGTCTGAATGCTCTAGTTTTAGTAAATCTTTTTCTGTGATTATTGACTGTATGTCATGGCACTGCATGCTTTTCTCAGTACTGTTTATCATAATTATGCATAATTGTAGGAAAATAATGGGTTCAAAGTTACCTCTCCAAGGTACGACACGATAAATAAAACAACCATCATGATAAAGATGTCCACTCTCCAGTAATATGGGGTACACACCAGCTGAGAATAACAAAGACAGAACCAAAAATATCAATTTATAAATTGAGGAAATGTCTAAAACATTCTCTCTCTCTCTCTGTTTATATATATATATATATATATATATATATTTAAGAGCACAACAAATGCAAATATGCATCACCTAATATTGCAGTGCTAGTTTTATGTGATGTTATATGATGATATTTATGGGTTTAGTGTTTATGAACTTTGCAACATAAGGTCAACGCAAATAAGCCCTCTGAAACAGTTTTAATTAAATGGATAAATGAATGAGTAGATAGATAACACAAGAGAGTTGGGAGGGCCCTAATCATGAAACTCTACAATCTAAAGCGAAGGGGAAGTGATTGAAAAGGTAGTAGCTGTGTAAGGTTAAGCTGACCAAGAAAGGATAGGCTTGCCTGAGGAGATAAATTATCATGGATCACCTAAAGACAGACACAGTAGGAGATTGGGAAAGGGAGAGGCTCTGGAGAAGTTCTGAATGCGAGCATGAGAGGAGGCGACGTGGGAGCTAGAGAGCAGTAGGACTGAAGAGGTTGGTTTGAGATGAAGCTGTTAATGTAGCTGGAGGCAGAGTTTAGATGGTTTTGTAAGTTCTTTATAATATTAAAAATGATATTTGTTGCGTGAACAAAAACCAATGGAGGGATTGGGAAAGAGGGCTGGTAGGCACTAATAAGTTTGTAAAGTGGATCTGGCAGCAGCATTTGTGATAGACTGAATATCTCTACACAGGGGGATTATTGGTGTAGAGGTAGGCTCACGAGGAGGGAGCTGCATAGTCTGGGCGAGAGTAACAAGAGAGTAAAAGTGGCAATTTGGCATCTGAACAGTGATTTGATGCGTGGCTGAAAGGAAAGCTTGGAGCTTAGTGTGTGTGTATGTGTATATATATATATATATATATATATATATATATATATATATATATATATATATGGGGCATTCAAGTCAAACCAAGACTTTTACAGGTATAAAAAGTGATGCTAGCATGACAGTACTACATGCAGTAGTAAGTGGCAAGTGTGTCCTATTACTGATAGGCGGCGCACATGTCATGGGCCAGTCCAGAAACCGTTACACAAGATGGCAGACAACAGTGTTAGTGCCTGCATAAAACAGCATGTGATGATAAAGTTTCTTGTGAACAACATCATAAAATCCACAGATATCTACAGATGACTTCAAGCATAGTACGGTGATGAGACGCTCAACCACAGTAAGACTTTTGAACAGTGCAAATGTTTCAAAGATGGTCATACATCCATCAGTGGCAATCCCAGCCGTGGTGGTTCCCAGCCCACAGCAGTCATTCCTGTGAACATTCAGTGTGTGGAATGCTTTATCCTGAATAATCAATGCATAACCTGGCGTGAAATTGCACAAGAGACAAATCTTTCTCTGAGAACAGTGAACACAATGATGATGAAGTGAAGCAGGCTGTCCCAGGATGGTTCAGGTGTACTGACAAATCTTTCTATGCCAAAGCTTTCCAGGCATTAGTTAAACACTGGGATAAGTGTATAAATGTAGCAGGAGAGGATGTCATATTATCATTATATAAGCTCAAAAGCCCCAGTTTGACTTTTTATATATATATATATATATATATATATATATATATATACTGTATACAGATATAACAATATACACTGATTAGCCACAACTTTATCACTACTGACAGGTTAAGCGAGTAACATTTATTGTTTCATTACAATGGCATCTGAAAGTAAGTGATAAATAGTAGGCAGCAAGTAAACCCGTTTATCCCTGAAATTTATGTGTGTGAAAACAGAAAAAATGGGCACAATAGTTTGTTGTGTATGGGGCCACATAGCCACAGAATGGTCACGATGCCCATGGTGACCCGTGTCCACAGCAAAAAGGTCCTATAATGAGCTTGTGAGAATCAGAATTGTGCCACGGAGCAAAGAAAGAAGGTGGCCTGGTGTAATGAATCACATATTCTTCTGAAAGATATGGCACTATGATGCACTAGAAGAAGAAGACAAGCTCGTGGAGGCAGTGTGGTGCTTTGGGCATTGTTCTGCTGGTAAACGTTAAGTCATGCCATTCATGTGGATGTTATTTGACCAAGTACACCTTTTTCATGGAAACGGTATATCCTGATAGCAATGGCCTCTTTCAGTAGTTTAATGTGTCCTGCCACACATTAAAAAAATGGTTCAAAAATGGTTTGAAGAACACAACAAATTCGAAGTGTTGACCTGACCTCCAAATTCTCTAGATCTCAATTCATTTGAGCACCTGTGGGATGTGCTGTAAAAACAAGTTGAATCCATGGAGGTCCCACCACACAGCTTACGGGACTTAAAGGACCTGCTAATAGTGGCCTGGTGCCAGATACCCCAGCATACCTTCAGAGGTCTAGTGGCATACTTGTCGCGACAGGTCAAGGCTATTTTGGCAGCAAAAAGGGCTGTTTCTGCTGCAAAAGTTAATATTTGTCAGTACTAATGGTTATGCTGATTTTATGCTGGGCAGTCATTTACAATATTTAACAATATTGCTACAAAATACTATACCTCCAGAACAGTGTACATGGCTTCAATGTCAGCAAACAACAAAAACACATAAATTGTCACTTGCAAAATCAGCAAACAGGTAAGTATATCTAAAAAGAACAAAATAAATATATTATAATGATTTTATTATTGACAGTTTTCAACCATAGTGCTGTGAGATAGATAGATAGATAGATAGATAGATAGAGATAGATAGATAGATAGATAGATATTGTCATTAAGTTATCCGAAAGTCCAACTTCAGCAGTATTTTCATAGCTTTATAGCTATTAGTTCCACTAGATAGTACACCAACTGCTTTTGCCTACCACAAAAATGCACAGCCAAAGCATCATCACAGATTGTGTTTTGTGTCTGGCCAAATATAGAACCAAGCATAGGCAGGGGCAGAGACATGAAACCTGCACGGGTGTCTATCATACATGTAGCAATGATGTCAGCAGGAGGCTAGAAGTAAATTATAGAATTATTTTTTACATTCATACATGAAATTGCAACTCACAGTTAGTATACAAACGTTGTCTGAATGGCCGTCCTTTGGAAAAGACAAACACTAGAATAATAAGGTTGAATCCTACCAAAAGATTCATTGTTGTGGTGATGAAGTTCTCTGAATACCGATGTTCTCTAATAGTAACATTTTCTATGCTATGGTTCAATGGTAGACAGGCACTGCCAATTAGAAATAATGAAAAATCAAACTGTGTCCAGTTTAATCAAATATATATTCAAGAAAATTATTTATTTCTATTTCATTTGCTATAGGTTGAATACTTTCATAGTTTTCAAAGGAACATAATGAAAATGTTTGGTGTTGAAGTGAAAAAAAAAATAGAAAAGTAGATAAGAATATAATATATAAATAATTTGTACCAATTTGCAGAATATTCCTTCTACATCTACAGTTGAAAATTCATCCTAGAAAAAAGGCAGTACACAGGAAAATGGTTTGCTTTTTCACCTGTTTTAATTGTAGCAGTCTCCTAGTTAGACTGTCAGGCTGCTAGGTACATTTGGTTCCATTGGCTCCTCTGTAATCAGTGGAGCAGTTGTTGTTTGCTTTAGGCTGTTCTGGATCTCACAGGCTGCAGGTATGATTGTTTCCCCTGCACTCTACAGCTCACTATTATTCTATAATTCTCTAAAATCTGCTGAGCAGCCTGAAAATTTGTGGTGCATCATCCATACCCTAGTAGGTGGCTGGAGAGGGACATAAAAAGTCTGAGGCCTGGAACAGCCCTGTTCTTGTCCTGCTGGAGAAGTTCCACAACCTCAGGGGCTCTGCCCCTCTTAGGCAGTTTTTTCTGGAGTTTGCTGGTGTTCGAGAGCTCAGCTGTGGCAGAGCTGGGGTACCTATTCCTGATCTTGTCTGGAGCTAACTTCCTGGTTTGGAGAGCTCACTGAAGAGTTGGAAAGGGTCTAATTGGAAAGGGTCTAGATGTCCTGTGGCATTGTGGGCATTGACTTCTCCAGTTATCCTATGGCATTGTGAGTACTAACCTGAGCTCTAGATCCTAGTGACTGTGTGCTCTGTTCCCTTGGGTGAAAGTGCCTGTGATAGTCCCTACAAGATCTCAGTCCAGGACATTTCTTTTGCTCCTGGTGCTAGGACTATTCAGAGAAGTTTGGACTATTTAAGTGTGTCCTCTTATTATTATTCAGCGTTTTGGACATCCCATATCACCCCGCACCTCCCCAAGTTTATTTAGCAATAAATTATAAAGATGACAAACCCCTAGACTGTTCAGTTGAATCTAAGTGAATGAGTTGTTACTAGGTGCCTTGCTGCCTTTGCACTGGTTTGGAAAGAACCTGTCTAAACTCAGCGGCTCCTACAGGGGTAGCGCTACATATTAAAATCTAAGGTCCATTGAAGTGAAGATACTAAAGAAATATCAACACAAACATCTATTTATGTATAAGGAAATCTAAATATTAGAGCTGGTGCTTGTGCATTAAAAAATAGAAACAGCTGCAGGTATAACTTACTGGTTTGCACCTAAGCTCCTGACTCTAAGGTTTTTTCTAGCACTCTCTTTGTACAAGAAAGCAGTACTGACAGTTTAGCAATGGTCAGTTCTCAACGTATAATTCTCTTAGTAAAAGAAAGCCTCCTTTGCTCAAAATCATGCTGATCAAAGTCTATAGAAGAGTTAGGTGCATGCAAAAAGCTAACATACTTGAGTGGCTGAACACAGGCTGCTTTGTTCTTCAATGAACAGGCTGTAGAGTTATTGATGCAATTGTGTAGACTTGGACAGCTGTTGTAAAGGGGTTTGGGAGTACCTTCGAAACCCATCACTGTAGGGTGTTCTTAGCAAGTGTTTGCCTCCTTTTTCAAGCTTTGCTTTGGTCCTTACATCTCCTGTTTCTATATCTCTAGATTAAGTGCCACAATTGTAAAAACTCCAAGCTCACTATCATCATGGGCAGCACAGTGGCTAAACGGTTAGCACTTCTGCCTGGCAGTACTAGGATCGTTGGTTTGAATCCCAGCCACGGCACCACCTGCCTGGAGTTTGCATGTTCTCCCTGTGCCTGCCTGGGTTTCCTCTGGGTACTCCAGTTTCCTCCCACACTCCAAAGACATGCTGGTAGGTTAATTGGATCCTGTCTAAATTGGCCCTAGTATGTGTATGTATGTATGTGAGTTAGGGACCTTAGATTGTACACCCCTTGAGGGTTAGGGATTGATGTGAATGTACAATATATATATATGTGTAAAGCGCTGCGTAAATTGATGGGCGCTATATAAGTACATAAAATAAATCATAAGGACCAGGCTTCAGTTTTCCTGTAAAGTCAAGTATGACATCAGACTGTGCAGTTATGAAAATGATATTTGACTGAGAAAAGTTGGGCATGAGCTTGGGTATTTATCAGGGATGGGGCCTTCTGCACCCTACCAGAGGCTAGGGCCATTTTAAAACCCACCAGATGGTAATCCCTGTTTCTTGTCTAAATTGTAAAAAATCTGCATTCACAAACACATCTACAGGTTGTTATCTTTTAAATGTTAAAAACTGGTAGTAAATCGGATTCAAAGATATACAGGCTTACTTGGATTATTTTATTCAAATTTTAAATAAAGTGTATGTATGAACAAAATAAAAACAAAACATATTTAGTAAATCTCTACAATATATGCACATTTCCCATGTTTTGTCATGACAAACCATGACATACAGCAAAATACATCTTGATCCTATAATAACTTCAGTAACTTTTTTACTGAGCTAACAATGCTGCAACCAAATCTCATGCAATGTTATCAGCTCTGCCAAATTTATTTCTGTGGAATACAATCTCCCTCTTTGTTATGAGGATGAGAAGATGATGAGGTGTTCAAATCAGGAGCATTCAGACTAGGATAATAAATTCCAGTCCTGTGAAGATACTGTATAATGAGCGAACGTGTACAGGAATGTGCTGGTGGCAGGGTCACCAGGTGGAAGTAAAGTCTGAAAAAAGAAAACTAATGAATCAACCATATCTAAGGACTGGCAAGCTAAAATATATTATATTTCTGTTCTTGGGTTTAGATACATGATAAGAATTACTTCCTTCCCCTTTACCTACCCCAAGCCTCCCCAAACCCCCCCCCTCCTTTTTTTCTTTCTCTCCCTGGAGTTGCTTGCCTACTGAAATAGCACACCTAATAGAAGACAACATCTGCCAAAGTGAATTGTTAACTTAATTAATTAGAACCCTCCACAGGCTATACTGTCTAGCTTTCACATTCCAGGAGCGAGAGACAGCCAACCCTTCAGGCTCATGTAGGACTCCCTATAGTTTGTCCTATAGTGTCACATACTACCATCAAGTCCTTTTGCATAATTTCAGAACAACAGTGCTCGGACCATGGTGCTCCTCAATAACACACGGTTTCTGTCACTTGATGAGGTGCAGCCCTCCACAGATCAGGGAATCTAGGAACAGAGCACACTCTCCTTGCACATTACCATGATAGCAGATTTATTAACCACTTATTAACCAAGTACTGCTACAGGGCAGCACGGGTGTGCAAAATCACTGGACTTTGAATGGTTATGGTTACAGCTGCAGGCATCACCCTAGTATAGTTTTTTTCAGCCGGCGATCCGCTTTCATGTAAAAGAAATCCTAGTGGCTAATTAGCTGCAGGATTGCTTTTACAAGCAGTGGAAGCAGATGCGCCCCCTCCCCCACGGCCTTCCATAGCCTTCTCGTGCAGTCTCGTGCCATCGGGGGAACCTGAGAATGCAGCCGGTGTTTCTGCCAGCTGACCATAGAGCTGATTAGAGACTGGAATGGTGCCAATCATCTCTATAGTCTAAGAAATCAAAATCTATGAGCATTTCATCACTTCAGTTTTGCAGGATATAAACAGCACCATTTGTAAATTGGGAAAGCATCTGATCACACCGATCTTGGTGAGATTAGATAATGTAAGGGCAGAGGAGAGATCTAGAATCTGATAGACCCTATATTTCTCAAAAAAGAATATATGACAATGCCCATTGAAGAGCGTAAAAGCACTATTTGACCTAATTTATAATGAGAGGTCAAAAATGGAGATGAGCAAATTTTAATATCACTTGGTGGAGTTGGAGTGCACTGGTTTCACTGTAGGATTACACATTCATAGAAGATTTGGAATTGACCACAATTGCACATCAGTGTTGGAAGATATATTTATATAATGGATTCTTAGTTGTATTGGGGCAATTTTTCTTATAATAGTCGAGGTGGTAAGGCGCTAAAATATATGAGCATTTTCAAGTTGCACTACACTATTTTTGTCTTTTTAGACATTATTCAGCTACTTCGTCAACATTATGTGTCAATTCTATAAACATTACCATGCTAATGAACCATAGCACACTATAGTCATTATTTGCTTTTATTTTTTGCACTCACAGCTGTACTGCTAATAGCAATATAAACTCATCAATTATTATTATATTAACTGGTGCACAAACAAAACATGTTCGTAGTACCTATTACTGTGCACTATCCTCAACTCATATACCTTCAGACCTCAAATCGGCCTCAAAGCGTGCACTTTGAAACCTCAGATCTAACCATTTGATGCTTCTTCAGATCTCAAATTAGCCCCTATTCCTGCACCTTCAGACCTCACATCAGCCCCAAATTCTTCAACTTCAGACCTCATATCTGCCAAAACGCTACACCTCCAGAAATGCAGGGACTTTAATTACCTACTGCAGAGTTTGGAGGAAGAGTGTGGGTGAGCATTTTTCACACACTAACATTCTCACATTAATGGTGTCAAAGGGTTGAAAAGGTTATGGTCAGGTTTGTAATTGATTGTCAACTATCCGGGTTTTAGTGAAAAAGGCATGGTGCGCTCACCTTGGCACATGTGTTATGGTTTGCCGATCCCTGCTTTGGATTACTGCTGCATTTTTATAAAACTCCATGAGGGAGTAGGACAATGTGAGTTTTAAATAAAATGACTTCAAATGTCCTTATTATTATTATTATTATACAGTATTTATAAAGCGCCAATAGTTCGCTCAGCGCTGTTTTTCAAATTGTGGCTAAAGAATGTTTAGATCTCTAAACCATGTGGTAATCATTTACCTGAAGACATCTGTTTCATTGTACCATGGCTGTTGCAGAAGCAGGAAGAAAGCAATTCTCTGTACAATCACCGTGAACATCAAGTGCATAGCAATAGACAATAATAATGGAGGAGAAAGAAGCTGTCCTGGGGGTCTGTATGGAGAAAGCTTTGGTGCTGGTCCATTCAAACATACTGAATAAAGAAGAAGAATGTGTCATACAGTGTATTACTGAAGTCAATAATAAAATACTAAAATTATAGATACTTACAAGTTAAGGCTACTGGAATATTGATAGACACATCCTGTATTAGGTATTGATAATTTCCAAGAAGAGTTTTTTTCTAAGACAAAGTAATTTTGTGTAAGGTAAAAATGTATATTTTCATAACTTGCTAAATATTTATACTGAGATATGCTTCTAGCAGTAAGTCTACTATTTAAATTATATCCAAAGTTAGTTATTTTGTGGTTTTCTATGGAACGGAATTTAAAACCATTGACAGGTATTATTTGCAGTCTGTTTCTCCACTGGGGAGATTTGCTGTCTTTATTAGTCTTGAGGATCACTGCCACCAGGACAGAAAGTGATTGCAAAATGTTATAGTTGCTCTTTTCATTATAAGGTAAAGATACATTTTCCAAGGGTGACATTTGTTCTAGTGACAACTGCCTAGGACAAGATTTCTCCTCTGTTTGGAGAAATTCCCACCTACTTCCTGTTTGGTCTACGGGACAGGAGAAAAAAAAATTAAATCAACCCAATGCGACGTTGACAGTCAATAAACCTAAAATAAAAAAGTAGAAATAAGCAAATGTATTGACAGCATATGTGAACACCTCAATGATTACATCGTTTGGCTAAAATTTTCCTTGCATTCACAACACCTGTTCAGAAAACCCTAAAAAGCTTCTATGGATCAACCCCCTTAACATCTATGGACTTAGGAGATAGCCTCATAGAAATATATGAGGATTTACTGCACAAGCACAGCCAGTGCATAAAATATTTTAGCCAAATTTTATATACATTGAGGTGAGCCATGTGGGAGTAAGCTTTAGGATTCTTTTTAAAATAAACACATTTACAAGTACTCCTAAACTCTCTGTAAGAGAAATATAGAGCTGGTGTCCATGGTAAGAAAAGGCCAACTCTTTCTCTTTAATAAGGTAATAATATGCAGCAAAGAACTGTTTACATAAAGTACAGTAGTAACACTAACCATGGGACAATGCTATACATGCATTTACAAATTAATTAGAGAATCTAAAAAATCAGTTATAAAAAAATAATTCAGCAAGCAATCACTTCTAAGCATCTTCACAGTAAGGAAATGTTTAAATAAGAAAACCTTACCCAGAATAGGTATGCTGTGCAAGTTAGACCAATAAGGACAGACATGGTTGTGAACTTAAATACAGAGATTGTTGTAACCAGAGTATTCCTTCCTTCCCTGTGTAAGAAAACAGCATTGTCTTGTTACATTGTAGTACACAGTGCTGTACATATTTTAAGCACTGTACAAAGTTTTCTCAAATTAGAAGTAGAACAGCGCATGCGGAGCTGCCGGAGCTGATGTGTTCCTGAACCTCTCCGCACAACCCCAGCACAAACAGCATTCCTTAGCGGCTTCTGACTCCACTTGTTTCGGCCACCCACCCAGCTCCCTCACTGCTGTGGTGTTGACCTGCTCTATGCCTGTCAGGATGGCTGAGAAGGTGCACAGCAGCTCCCGCAACCATTCCCATGTGGCGGGCAAAGGAGGCATGATGGCGGCCGGCACTGGCTTCCGTGTATCCCCAGCTATGAAGAAAGAAAAGCTGCTTCGACAACAGGTCAAATCCAAACCCCCTGGCTCTGGTAAATGCAGCACGGGCTTCTCTTTCTGGCCTCCATGTGAGCAATATGACCTCCCCAGCTACCTCTGTGGCATCAGCCTCATTTCCAGGCCGTGACTCCTGCACCTCCTATGCTCTAGATAAGGAGATGGCATATATTTTCCTTAGCCAAGCCAGTAGTCAAGGACCAGGTCCTGATAGTCTTGTGGACTCTCCTGCCTCTCCACCCGCACCCCCACAATATTCTGGTGATTCAGTGCTTATTGCCCATTTTGTTGATTTATTACAGAGGGAATTGTATAAACCTACTACTAAAATGGACTCTGATTTGAAACAGGACTTTGGGAATTAGGTCACCGCCTGTATAGCATTGAGTCTGAAGTGGATGATACGGTTCACAGAGTGTCACAAAATTCCAGCATGATTACTAAGCATCAAGATCGCCTTGAGGAGGCATATGGTAAAATTGATGAGCTTGAAAATCATGCAAGGTGGTAGAATGTTCACATCAGGGACCTTCCTGAAAGTGTGAAGGACATCACCTCCATCACCTATTCTCTTATGCAGTCTGCAGTTCCTGATATTGATGAGATCCACGTTGAAATTGACCGCATCCACAGGGCTTTAGTTCCCTTGAAGCCAGACAGGCCTCATAGGGATGTGATTGTGAAGCCTCGTTTCTTTAAAGTTAAGGAAGCGGTCATGCGATATGCCAGAGAACATCCTAACCTGGAAGTTGAGAGTTATAAGATCCAAATTTTTGCTGATATTTCTCAGGTTACTGTTCATAAGTGGAGGGCTTTTAAAACCCCTGCTCTCACCTCTTGGTTAAAGTGATATCCGCTACAGATGGAACTATCTATTTTGGCTGCAATTCACCTAAAACAGCAAATCTTATTCTTTTTCCACATTCACTGAAGGAAAGAAGATCCTGTTGCTATTGGACTTCATTTCCCATATTCCCTCATCTCGGAACCAGCAGAGAACAGTAGTCCACCTCTTCCACTTTCACCTCTCTGGTCTCCTTCCCCAATGAAGAAATCTACAACTTCTCACCGTGTCACCTGAGAACTTTCTGTTTGCCGCTAGTTGATGTTTTTAACGGTGGCTTCTCAGTGGTCCCTTCATGGGACACTAGCCACTGTACATGTTTGGTTTGACATTTTTCACATATGTGCCTTTACCCTAGCAGTTTTAGTTCTCTTGTTCATGGTTTGAGCCAGATACAGTTGCTCAGGACTTATTATATTATGTATATAAATGTTGTTGGCACTGAGTGCGACTTGGCATTTAATTTGCATGCCCTGCGACTTGCAAATTTCATGCCAAGTTGCATCCTACTGTCCGCAATTACATCAGTCATATCACTGCAGTTCGACTTGGTTGGAGCCGCATCGATTTCAAAAGTAATACATGCACTACTTTTGGTGCTATTTGCATAGACATCTATGTCAGATGTCTTGCAAATCGCACCTGAAATCGGCATCTCACCCAACTCTGAAATCATACAACTTCACTGTAAGTCGGCTTGATGTGACCGGGGTGTTAGGACATTTTCCCTTTTGTGTGCAAAGACGGTAATAATCAACATTGAAACATTAATTCATTTTCTTATAGCCAAACCTATGCAAATTGTAAACATGCAAAAAGCGTACTTGATAAGTATCGGTACACATTGAATATTTGGAATTTTGGAAGTGAAAGGTGAAGCAACAGATGCTTCTAATTCTGACAACGAAATTCCAGCATGGGATATTTTCAGTGCCTGTCGAGAATGGACAAAGGGACAAATTACATTAGTGAAAAAAAATAAAAGAAACACTGGGATACTACACTAATATTCGGAATGTTTGTAATGGTTGTATTACTTTTGTTTTTGCTTCAAATATCTGATAAACCTTTATGTCAAAATTAGCTACTCCTCACTTTACTTAAAGCTGCAGTTTAGTTTTTTGTTTTTTTTTGGGGGGGGGGGGGGTGGATACAGCACGATACACCATTACCTGCTGACTGCTACTTCACCCTGTTGTGTGTCCTCATAGCTGCTGGATACAATCCTGAGCAGCTGTATTCCAGAACTGTGAGAATTAACTGCAGCCCCTGCTACAAAGAAAAGTTGGAGCAGTTGAATGAAAAGATTCCACCATCTACAGAATACATCATTTCCATTGACAGAATGTAATGCATTGTGGGAGTTTAGTTATACAAATTCTGTAAATTCTGGCAGAAAGGGCAGATGGGGCAAGCGACATAACCTTTCTCTAGTATCTGAAGGAGGCACAGCAGAGATGATCTTTAGCAGAAGCAGCAACCTGCAAGTAATGGAAAATGGCTGTATATATGAAAAATAAATAAATACATGAATGAATGAATGAATGAATTAATTAATTAATTAATTAATCTTCAACTTTATTATCAGATTTGGTGAGCTGTTAGAGATCATTCTGTATCTTGTATAGAAATACTGTACATACTGGGCATTCCAGAAATGTACTGGTGGAGGAGCCTAGAACTTTATGGAGTTGATTTAATAAAGGAAAAGAGAATGTTCATTTAGCTTAGTAGATCTGCATTTATATTATCATCCAATCATATGCAAAGAAAAAGCCTGTTTATTTATTTATTTTACTGACAAATGATTTGATATTTGATATTCAAAGTAAATGCAGCATCACTTTGTTTAAGTGAGAATTCACTTTGCAAAGTCAACAAATGTTGCTCCTTTAGTAAATCCAATCCAGTGTATCTATCATAATACCATTTCAAGAAAAACATTTTATGTAAATGAGATGTAAGCCACAGAAAAATCTTGGTGACTTCTAGGCATGTCATTTGCAGAGTCTCCAGAGTCCAGCAATATCTATCTACCAATCTACTTTTTAAACCTATGAACTGCTACAGAGCACCTGTAATCATAACATTGGATTTTTCCTGTTATATTTGTGGGTGCTCGGTTGCAGTCCAAAGATCAGGTTTAGTGTTTGGAAGTATAAAAATAAGATTTAGATACTTATTATACAGTGAAGGAAATAAGTATTTGATTCCTTGATGATTTTGAATGTTTGCCCACTCACAATGAAATGATCAGTCTAAAAATCAAATGATAGGTGTATTGTAACACTGAGAGACAGAAAAGCAACAAAACATTCAAAAGAAATGCATGTCTAACAAATTATGCACTGATTTGCATGTTCAAGTAATAAGAAATAAGTATTTGATCCCCTATCATTCAGCAGGATTTCTGGCTCCCAGATTAGAAGCAGTCTCTTAAAGGGAGTGCTGCTAATTTCATTTTGTTACCTGTATAAAAGACACCTGTCCACAGGAGCAATCAAACATCAGATTCCAAACTCTCCACCATGGCAAAGACCAAAGAGCTGTCCAAGGATGTCAGGGACAAGATTGTAGACCTACAGAAGGCTGGACTGGGCTACCAAACTATCACCAAGCAGCTTGGTGAGAAGGTGACAACAGTTGGTGCAATCATTCACAAATGGAAGAAACACGAAACAACTGTCAGTCTCCCTAGGTCTGGTGCACCATGCAAGATCTCACCTCGTGGAGTGTCAATGATCATGAGAACAGTGAGGAATCATCCCAGAACTACACATGAGGATCTTGTCAATGATCTCCAGGCAGCTGGGACTACAGTCACCAAGAAAACAATTGGTAACACACTACGCCGAGAAGGATTGAAATCCTGCAGTGCCTGCAAGGTCCCTCTGCTCAAGAAAGCACATGTCCAGGCCCATCTGAAGTTTTCCACTAAACATCTGAATGATACAGAGGAGGACTGGTTGAAAGTGTTGTGGTCAGATGAGACCAAAATCGAGCTCTTTGGCATCAACTCAACTCACCATGTTTGGAGGAGGAATGCTGCCTATGACCCCAAGAACACCATCCCAACTGTCAAACATGGTAGTGGAAACATTCCACTTTGGGGGTGTTTTTCTGCTACGGGGACAGGACAACTGCACCGCATCAAAGGGACGATGGACGGGTGTTCCAGCATGACAATGACTCAAAACACACAGCCAAGGAAACAAAGGAGTGGCTCAAGAAGAAGCACATTAAGGTCCTGGAGTGGCATACCCAGTCTCCATACTTTAATCCAATTGAAAATCTGTGGAGGAAGCTGAAAGTGTGAGTTGCTAAATGTCAGCCACCAAGCCTTAATGACTTGGAGAGGATCTGCCAAGTGGAGTGGGCCAAAATCCCCCCTGAGATATGTACTAACCTGGTGGCCAACTACAGGAAACATCTGACCTCTGTGATTGCCAACAAGGTATTTGCCACCAAGTACTAAGTCATGTTTTGTGAAGGGGATCAAATACTTATTTCCCTCATGGACATGAAAATCAGTGCATAATGTGTTAGACATGCATTTCTTTTGAATTTTTTGTTGCTATTCTGTCTCTCAGTGTTACAATACACCTACCATTCGATTTTTAGACCCTTTCTTTGTGAGTGGGCAAACATTCAAAATCAGCAGGGGATCAAATATTTATTTCCTTCACTGTATATATGTATAAAAGTAGATTTGCATTTGTACTGCCAGATACTGGCACATTTTTAAGTTAGTGTAGAGATTTATTCACAGTATTAGCAAATGTACATATATGAAGCATGCTTACCCCACAGTCATTTGCTCCATCTCCACACATTCCAACAAAGTAACTGAAATTGTGACAGTAAAATATATGTTATTAAAAAAGTAATTCCTACTAGTATCCACTATTATATTGTATCCTGAAGGCTTATCTAATAGGGCAGTGCAAGGAGCAATGATGATATACAACATCCAGTAACCCCTAACAACAAACATCTTTTAAAATGATGCACATAAATGGCAACAGCCCCAACCTATAACTGGTCTTTGCAGCAAGGAGCACATGGAAGGGCAGCTTATGAATGTATTTACAAATGTGTGATAACTAAACCCCTGTTTTTTAGTGTGAATTGTTAAACAGGATAATTCAGTTTTTGCAGGCTGGCTGGTAAGTTGAGCAGGTAATTTCTCTTTGTTGTTTGACATCTTTTAAAATGACTAGAACATTATCACTGGCAGCAATTCATTGATAGGTTCACATAACTACATTTTCATCACCCTGTGGAAAAGTCTATTTGACTTGGAAAATAGGAAAGGAGTAATTTAGTCCCTTTAGCAGCAAAGAACCAACAAAAGGGTTCCTCTTATTCCCATGGGCCTAGAGATGTTTGCCAAATATAAAAGATGGACCAATAGATGTTTTTAAGTAGTCCTTTAAAGTCAGTGATCTAAAATGATTAATAATTAGGACTGAATTTAGCTGCTCATCAAAAGACCAAATCTGTAGGGCTTTGCAAATCACTACATTACTGAATTTCTCAATTTCTTGAAATAGAGACATGTTTGATGCAAAACTAAATAATGTGTAAGTGTATGACATACAAGAAAGTTACTTAAAATAAACTGAAACTATTTATTTTATATCATATAAACTGGTTAATCTGGAAATAATCAAGGGCAAATTCATATTGCCTACAACCAGTTCAGCTGTCTTGGGCTGGAATCTTTCTACAAGAGTTGACTCTCTCCCCCTAGAATCTCAATACAAGACAACATAGCCATACAAGGCAAACTCTCAACACGTTCAGCTAGTTGGTGCTAGGTTTATAGACTAAGGTGTCCGTTTATGAACCAGCGGTAATAGATCCCTGCTCAGTTCTCCGACATTCTCGGAGAACACAGTTCTCCTGTGAATGCAGTTTATGAAGCAGTGTAGATCAGTTTATGAAGCAGTGTAGATCAGTTCTCCAAACAAAGGGAGAATGGTCTAAAAACGCTGGAGAACGGTCTACAAACACTGGAAAGTGGCTGATTTTACTATAATCTCGCAAGATTACAGTAAAAGATCAGTTTACTAAGCAGGGGTAAATTATCGCTGCTTAGTTTGCGGTTCCTCCGATTCTCCAGCTCTGGGCTGGAGAATATGGAGGGAGAACACAGATCTCCAGTGAAGGGCTGAACATGTTCTCCTCTGATCTCCTGAATGTCATAAACTGTGAATGACCAGAGAATAGCTGTGATCCTCTGTGTCATAAACGGACACCTTAATCAGGAAGAGGATGTGCAAGTGGCTGTATACGCCCCTTTCAGCCTAGTCATCCTTGGCAATGGTCTATGCTAGCTATCCAGAGAAACAAAAGGTTATACAACATTATACAACATGCAAATATTCCAATATTGTAAGGTTCTTAACAGTCTGTACTTACTCTAACTTCTGAAGTTCTTCAATTAGGTTGGACTTTTGTTTTGGTATCATTCTGGCAAAAATGGTTCCATTCAGTAATATTTTAAAACATTAAAATATGTACAATACACTATTATGGTAGGCCCTATGTAACCATTTATAAGTCCTCATGCCCTCTGGATGTTTTAAAACCTCCAGTTGCATCAGCTGTATAAAGTCACGTTTAAAACACAAGTCTTTTCACATTTTTTACTGTTTTTGCATTAGCGTTTACAGTGTTTTTCCACGTTTTTTTCACATTTGCAATTTTTACACAAAAAAAAAAATACCATGTTGGCAAAAAAAATGCCAAAAGATGCCAGTTTGCCATGTTTTACTGCGTTTTGCCATGTTTACAAGCCTTTTTACAGCTAAAAAACTCTTCTAGAAACCCTCTAGTTCTGGGGGTTTTTTTCCTGCCGAAGAACAGTGATTAACGCCTATGTGTGCATGGACACATAGGATAACATGCTGGGAAGTTTACTGGCTGTAGAGAAAAATGCCAAAAGCCAAAAACTGCAGCTGTAAAAATGTCCAGTGTGCATGAGGACTAATGTTTGTATGATCAAAAGAGGCAAGAAACATCCACAATTTCTATTAATCTATTTAGGCTTGTGTCAGGCACTATTGTTGAGACGTCCCAGTAGTAAGTTCCCTTTAGATTGTAAGCTCCATGATCAGAGCCCTCCTATTCCTTCTGTATTGAACTGTATTGTAATTGTACTGTCCCCCTTTATATTGTAAAACGCTGCATAAAGTGTTGGCGTTACGTAAATCCTGTATAATAATAACAATAATAATAATATACTGTAAGTACCACATTTTGTGCACAATACCGTAAGCAGTTGTATTATGTTTTTTATCTCTTTGTAGTAATCATATATAAAATACTGTAGGATGACTGGTGTCATCTCCAGGAAATGATGATAGTGATTGCTTTCCTGGGTTCCTTCATCTCCCTTAGCACCTTACTCAGCACCTCCCCTTTTCCCTTCCTGGGTGCACTATATCTCTTTTTCTTTTGAAGCATCATACTAGACATTCCCTTTAAGAGGAGAGCTTTCTGTGTTTGAATTTGTACAACCATATGAAGAATATATATATATATATATATATATATATATATATATATATATAAGACTGCAGACAACATACTTACTTTTGGTAGCACGTTGTAAAAATATTGACTTATAACCTGGTAGGACCTTCCAGTCAACACAAAATGAAAATTTCCATGAGCAGTGGGGTTAATAATCCATCCACCATCAATGTTTATTTTTGACTCCTGAAACATATATTTCTGTTAGTAATGAGAATGTGTTCATTGCCATCTTATAGTAACAAATGTTTTATGTTTTTATATTACATGTTTTTATATTTAAACTGAACTTTGACCTTATTAAAAACAGGATTTTGCATTAAACAAAAAGCAATCTTATGCAATGGGAAAGTATCTAGAGCATTATGTGGGAACAGTAACATTTTTACTTAGTCCAGAAACGTGAGTATACTAAAATAATTTGTCCACTGGCATGCAAAGTTAGGATTTGGATATTTGATGCAAACAAAGGTCCAAGCTAAGTAAACCAATTGTAATCTAGTGATGCAATTTGGGTTTAAAAATAATTTGGCTATGTAAAAAAAAAATCCTTTTTTGAATTCACCTCCATCACACTACAGTGTTTACAGGACACACTGCTCACACATGGAAAAGCTTCTATGGTACCATGACAACTGACATATTGAAGATGACGAAAGACAATTCACAGAAATAAAAAAAAGTTTAAAATTTCTCCTTAGGATCTGGTAACGTGCATATTGCATTTTGATGGATGTATGTAAAGTGAAAATTTTAGAAGCCGACAGCAGACATGTGTGTTTCGATGCGATTTATTTTTCAGAAGAAAATTAAATTTTTGGACATTTGAATGTATATGAATCTTCTAATGGGCATAGTAACGAATGCCAACAAATAAAAAAAAAAATTGCACAAAATTAATGAATTCATTTGTTTCATTTGGGTGATGTCACAAGATGAGAGAGTAGTTTACGCCCATGGGGAAACTAATAAAATTTTTTGAATAATTCAGATTCGATCCAAATATTGTTCCATTTGTTAATTCAGATACACAAAAGGCCATTTGTTATTGTTCAATCAGCTCGTGCCATTTCTCTTAGTGGTTTGTACTAGCGTCCAAAAATATTGAATCCTTTTGATTTGAATGCGTCCAATTCAATAATATATCAAATATATAGCTATCTTCTGAATAAACTGCAACATTTTTCAAATTCATTCAGACCAATTAATATACAAAATGAATGCTGAAGATACAAAATGAATTCCAAACAAATCGTGTCAGCATACTGAATATGACGAAAGAAAATTCTTCAATGAACCAAAGTATCCACAACTAAACTAAACAAAACTTTCTGGTGTGCACATGTCTAGCCATCAGTTCTTAGACAAACTGTAAATTCTACTCTAAACTTACACCACTGCTTAAATGGATTGTCACTTAGTCTGCAGGTATAACGTATGGTTTTCATTGCGTCCTCTTGAGGCAAGAATGGGAGGTTCATTTAAGTTGGTAAAGCTCCAGGACTGTCCTTGAATTTTGACTTTCTTTCTTGAGCCTGTCTATCCCTTTCTTAATAGCTATGCTCTGCTAACTGCCATCACTCTGTCCAATGAGTTCTTCAGAGATATGTAAGGGGATTTACGTATTTACAAACTTAGTTGTTGCCATGTGGTGTCTGCTTTTAGACATTTTAAAATTAATTATAGCTGCACTTTAAATAGCATGGAACAGTGTTTGATTTCAATATCTGCAATTAGAATGCCTTTTTACTAGTTGTATATATTTTTTTTAAAAGCACATAACATACTGTTGGTTTTGATGGGTTCCCATCAACTTGTTCCTCATCCATGTATTTCCAGGTAAGTGATGCAGGTAAATCATTTTCAGGTTCACAGGCTTCTAGTAGGATGATCTCACTGTTGTCAGGTATCATCCCAGAATTTTTCCCAACTGTCACAGCTGTCTGAAGGTTATCACCTGTCAAGACAAAAAAAGGTTAATGTCATGTGTAAACAGTATTGTGTAAGAAATTATTATGCAAACACAAACACAGTATATGTAATAGAGCAGGGGTCTCCAAACTGCAACCCGTGGGTCGGATATGGGCCTTTGCATGCCTTTATCCAGCCCTTGGGGCACGTTTCCTTCCACTTATATGAGGCACTATTTCTCCCACTGACACCAATGATGGGGCACTATTCTTCCTAATGACACTAATGATGGGGCACTATTCCTCCCACTGACACCAATGATGCGGCACTATTCCTCCCACTGACACTAATGATGGGGCAGTTCTTAGATGTAATGTCTGCATTAGTTTTTCTTTTTTAGGCTTTCTTTCTTTTATTTTCTCTTGTGATCTGGCCACCAAGTCTGTTTGTTTTTCAACAGAGCAAACTGCCGGGGAGATGTAGCAGTTAGAGGGCATAAAGCAAACTATTTAACACTGATAGAGATGCTTACAATGATCAGTTTTTATTTATTTATGCAAAATCTGTATCCCAAAAGGGACAAAACCAAAAGGGACAAAACTTTGCTATAATTGCTTATAAAGTGTGAGCTGGAGCTTGGTTTCAATTTGTTAATATATCAAAATCTGCTAGTACATCTAGCACTCCTCTCCGCCCAGACTGACAATGCTGCTGTCCGGAGGTGCCCCTTTTCTCCTTCATCCAGAGCGGGGACACTCTACAGGAGGTTTGATACTAGCCAAATCACCAGGTGAAAACAGAGGGGAAAAAAAAGAAAATTAATGCAGCCACCATATCTAATGATTGGTAAGTTGCAATATATTTAATTTTTTGTTTTGGGTGTAATGTCGCTTTAAGTAAATTTTGGCATAATTAGACATCTTTTAAATCTTGCAAATGTGTGTAAAAAACATGTACCTGTAACCATAACTGTTCTTATATTTGCTGCACTTAGTTCCTTTAATACAGAACTTGTCTCTGGTTTGAGACGATTTTCTAGGATCAGTAACCCAAGGAATGTAAGGTTGGACTCCACTACTTCCCTTTGAAGAAAGAAATTCCAATAAACTTTTTCATTGAAGCTTTTATGAAGTGAGAATATACAATCATGCTTGCAAGACAAAAAATGTTGGACTTAAACAATTTAAATTAATAATGCTGCATATAAAACTTTAAATGAAAATTATTTGCTGTAAAAATTGTATGACATACAGTATATAGCAAGTACACAGGCCATTTTTTTGTTGTTACAGGTAGAGATGAGCGAATTATTCAAAAATTCGATTCGGCTGATTCGCCAAATTCGCGGAATAAATTCGATTCGAGCCGAATATATTCGCTGCGAATTTAACTTATAAAAAAGGTGTTTCTAGGCTTCAGAGAGCCTTTATATTAGTGCAGAACACTGTACCTTTAATTTAAATGCCCTTGGAGTCTGCTGGGGAAGAGAAATAATACTGTCAGTCAGTATGACATGCAGATGAGTGCCGTCGATCTAGAATCACCGCACACTTCACTCATTTGGGCAGTCACAGGGCCAAAACCAGAGTGTGGAGCCACAGTGTGGCGGTGGAGGCAGCAGCAATGGGAGGCCATACAGCACCCTATGACAAAATGGAACCCACCAGCAGTGTGAGGAGACCTGAAAGTGGCACATGGCAGAGTGTGGCGATGGAGACAGCAGCAATGGGAGGCCGTACAGGGACCCATGACACAACTCTGGACCTGGCAGCAGCATGAGGAGGCGGTACAGGGGCCCATGGCAGATTACGGGCCTAGGCAGCAGCAATGGGAGGCCCGTAATCTGCCAGCACCCTATGACAGAAAATGGAACCCACCAGCAGTGTGAGGAGACCGGCCTGTCAGCAGCAATGACAGTGAGGCCTGATAAGCTGCAGAGCCACGCCTATGCAATGGAACCCACCAGCAGAAATGAGGAGACCTGTAAAGTGGCACACCAAAATGAGTAGGCGATGGAGACAGCAGACAATGGGAGACCGTACAGTTACACATGAGCACACTGTGTGGACCTGCGCAGGCAGCATGAGGAGGCGGTACGGGGGCCCATTCAGGATTATGCCTGGCGCAGCACATGGGGAGGCCCAAACTGACAGTCACCCTATACAAAATGGAACCCAGTCAGGCAGCGTGAGGAGACCTGAAAGTGGCTACATGGCAGAGTGGTGGCGATGGAGCAGCAGCAGTCAGTACCGCGAGACCCGGACACAGGTCAGACAGCATGAGTGCGGTATTTTGAGCCCATAGGAACGGGCCTGGCAGCAACACATGAGCCACGTAATCTTACAGGCAGCCCATGGACCATCACGCAGCGCAGACACTGTGAGCGAGACCATGACATCTGGCACAACCCAGGAGCGAGTGAGACAGTACAATGGGTAGGCCCATACGGACAGACTGAACTACCTCGAGGGACGAAGCGGGGGTGGGGGGGGGTGGGGGCGTGGGGGCATGCAGCAATCTGGAGGTGAAGGGGGCCCGGGGGGGGGTGTGGAGCCCGAGGGTGCGACAGGAAGTAGGGATGCCAGCCCCTATGGACGTAATGGTAACCCACCAGCAGTGTGAGGAGACCTATCCGTTGCACATTGGCAGAGTGGGGCATGGAGTACAAGCAGCAATGGGAGCAAATCGTACAGGGACCCACTGTAGACACAATAACTGGACCTGGCACAGCATGCCAGAGGCGCCACGGGGCCCCCATGGAAGTATTACGGGCCTGACCAAGCAGCAATGGGAGGCCCGTAATCGTGCCATCCCCCCTAGACACAAATGGAACCCACTCCCACATTACTGAGGATCGGCGACTCTGACACTTAGTGGCCACTAATGGCCCAGTCCCTGTGTGCAATGGAGAACATAAGAACCAGCAATCGCCGGACGAGCCGTACAGCAACCAAAACCCATGGACCATCACTGGTCCAATCCTGGCATCTAGACTCCTAAGTAAAGGCGACGCGTAACGCAGGCTGGCCCATAGGCTAGAAATACCCCCGGGCCTTCGGCAGCAGCAATGGAGGCCCTAAATCCCGCTCGATCCCCTTCCTGCTACACAAACCTTCGGCTATCCGCCCTATACAAGGGCAAATGGTAACCCACCAGCAGTGTTAGGAGACCTGACATAGCACGTCCGGTCAGAGTGTGGCGATCCCACTCCGACAGCCCCACTATGGGAGCTGTACAGGCCGATGGAACAGGACCCAATGGAGGCACAATCTGGACCTGGCAGCATAACATGAGGATAAATACTACGGGGTCGGGGCCCCATTCCAGATTTACGTGTCCATCAGGCACGAGGCAATGGGAGGATGAAGGCCCGTAATACTGCCCAGCACCCCTATGACAATCCCCGTGTTAACACCACCAGCCCCAGGCTGAGGAGACCTGAAATTGGCACAAGCAGAGTGTGAGGCGATGGAGATCCGCCCAGCACCCCATGATACAGGCCGTACAGGGACCCAATTCTAGACAGACTCTGAGCACCAGTGCAGCAGCAGCACCAGGATCGCGGTACGGGGGCCCCTCGGCCCCATTACGGCCGATGGCAGCAGCAACTCCACAAGGCCCGTAATCTGCCAGGTCCCTATGACAAAATGAACCTCTGCCAGCAGACCTGCAGAGGGACACCGTGTCACATGCAGAGTGTGGCCGATGGAGACAGCATGCTAATTGGAAGCCATACACGGGAATAGGACCTCTGGACCTTCAAGCAGCATGAGTAAGCGTGTACAGGGGACCATGGCACATTACGGGCCCTGGGTGCAGCAATGGGAGGTCCCGAATCTGGCCAGCACCCTATGACAAAATGGAACGCCACCACAGTGTGAGGAGACCTGAAAGTGGCACATGGCAGAGTGTGGCGATGGAGACAGCAGCAATGGGAGGCCGTAACAGGGACCCATGACACACTCTGGACCTGGCAGCAGCAAGAGGAGTCGGTACAGGGGCCCATGGCAGAGTGGCGAAGCGTAAGCAGCTTAAATGAAGGCCATACAGAGGCCTATGTTAAAAATAATAACATGTTTGGGGCATGATTCATGGCGGATTTAGTCAGTTGTGTCAGGAACTGGTGGTTTGAAATCCAGACTAATCCACGCCTGATTCATTTTCACAAACGTGAGTCTCTCCACACTTTGGGTGGACACAGTCGTGTCCTCCGCGGAGTTACAATACCTCCTGCCGCACTAAACACGCGCTCCGATGCCACGCAACTGGCCGGGCATGACAGCCTTTCAAGGGCAAATTCAGCTAGTTGGGGCCAAAGGTCAAGTTTCGTTGCCCAGTAGTCAAGGGGATTGTCTACCTCGGTTGGCAGGGTGCTGTCCAAGTAGGACCCAAGCCTGTTGTTTGAGGTCCTGCTCCAGGTCCACCTGATGCTGCTGCTAGCGCTGCGGCTGGTTAGTAGATTTTCCTCACTGCGCTGGTGAAGAAAGCTACTCATCATCGACTGCAGACTGAGGCAGCCGCTGCTGGTGGAGCTGCCACTGCTCCTACCACCCCACCCCTCCCCTGCTGCCATGGCAGCGGAACGCGAGCGCACAGGGCCCACAGTGTCTGAGATGTGACGTTGGCGCACAAAGGCAGAGACCCAACTGACTACATAGGTGGGTTTTTATAGTACGTTATTTTGGCCTCCCTCTCAGGCAGGTGTGAAAAAGGCCACCATTTTTGAACGGTAGCGAGGGTCCAACAAGGTGGACAGCCCAAAAGTCATCCCTCTGTCTGATGGTTATTATTCGGATACCTGTCGCTACGCAAGCAACCGAGCATGCTATGGGCCATTTGTGCCAAGGAATGCGAGGGACTCCCTGCCTCCATCTCCACAGCATACTGCCACGGTGCGTCTGGGTCCTCTGTCCTCCTCCTCCTCCTCTACCAGATGCTCCTGCTCCTCCACTCCTGTCCGCTGAGTGGAAAAACCACCCATTTCACTCAATAATTCCTGAGCACCAAATGTCCTCCTCTACCTCCTCCTCTTCTTCCTGTCCTGCCCCCACAGGGGTCATGTGGCGTTGAGATCTGTGCGCCACGTCTACCGCACCCTGAACCAGCCATTGTTAACAGCATTTGTTCCAGGACGTGCAACAGAGGAATGACGTCGTTCATCCCATAGTCCCCTGCCGACTCACGAATAGCGTGGCCTCCTCAAAGGGCTGAGCAAGCGGCAGGTGGTCACGCATGAGCTGCCAATGGCTGACATCGTAAGTTACACAGGGGAGTACCTTTATTCCCCGCTTGTAACATCAGGAAATCGGTGATGGCCTTTCGCTGTTCGTAAAGGCGGTCTAAACATATGTAGGGTTGAATTCCACCTTGTTGCAACGTCGCAGATCAGGCGATGCTGGGGAATTCCATTCTGCGGCTGCTGCAGCTCAAGGAGGGTGTGCTTTGCGGTGTAGGAATGGCTGCGCTGAAAATGCATGCAAAGTTTACGGTGACATTTTAAGGATGTCTTGCAGTGGGATGGAGGATTTTAGGACCCACGCTTGACAACCAGATTGAACACTTAGTGAGCCATGCATGGCGCATGGCACAACCTTCCTTGACGCAGCAGCAGACACCATGTTCTTTCCCCGTTGTCGGTCAACAGGTTCCGATTTTTCAGTTTGCGCGGAGACAGCCATCTGTCGATTTCTCTGTTCATTACACTCAGAAGTTCCTACCCCTGTGTGATCTACGTTCGCCAAGGCATACCAAGTGCAGCACAGCGTGACACCGTTGCCCCTGCACATGTGATATGCGCCGTGGGTAATGGGACTTGGCACGGGTGTGGCGGCTGAGGACACGGCGAAGACACGTAATTAGAAGAGGTGGTAGAGGCGGACTGTTTGCTGGACCAAGGACGTGCAAACGTGGAGGCAAAAGCCGGGCGTGACCTGTCCCAATGTTGCTGGTGCGGCTAGTGACCGGCACCACGTTCACCCAAGTGGGCCGTAAATGACATGTAACTGTCCCTATTGAAAGTTACAGCTCCACACGTCGGCGATGCCGTGCACTTTGGCAGAGACCGCACATGCTCAAAGACTGG